TGGTGGGAGGGCGGGGGAGAGGGGGGGGGGGGGCGGCGTGTGCTTTGCTCGCAGGCTGTTATGGTAATGTTGACAGGAGGAGCAGCGAGGCAGGGTTACTCTCGGTCAAGCTGAGAGCTCTGGGGCCGAGGAGAGGGAGGGGGGAGCAGCAGCGATGCGCCGGGGCCCTTCCCTCCAGGCCCAGCTCCACCAGGTGGGCTGAGCACACTTGGGCTTCCCAGCCATGAGTGCAAAGGCAACCGAGGCTGAATCGCAGCCTGGCGAGGCCGGGGGGCTCTCAAAAGCAGCAGCTCCTGCCTGGTGCAAGGAATCGGTTGAAAGGGAGCCATTCACTAGGGAGAAATTAGCATAGAAATGCTTGGAACGAATGTGTGAGCAGCATGTGCAGGCGAGCCAGGGAGCGGATTATTGTTTTCCCCTGCGGTGGCTGGTAGATAAAGTGTTTCCTCTTTAAGAGAGCAGGGAAGAGCTTTTCAAAAGCCTGCTTGTTCCACTAGGCTTTGAAAGCGGTGGAATGGAAAGCATTCTTCTGAGCTTTCCAGCCCCCCTTGAAAAGGGGCTCTCTCCCTAGCATGCCGCATCAATGCACCCTCTCTTTAATGCACCGTTCAGAGGTAATTCTTGGCATGGCTACCTATTGTAAAATGTACTTTAAAGAGGCTCCTTACCAGGCAAAATACTCCCGAGAACTAATTTCAGTAATCAAGCTCTCAGGTGCTGCTAATAGAAAATGGATTTTATTTTCAAACTGTTAGCTGGCTCCTGGTTTCTTTGAAATTCAAGGCCCACTGAGTTTCAAAGTCACTTTATAGGCACAGTTTTGTGGCCCAGTTGGAGCAGGATTAGTTCCTTACGCATTTCAAATGCTCAAAGAAAAGTGATTCCCCTGGAAAATGGTTGCCAGCTTATCCACAGCTGCTTAGGAAGCAGCAATTGGTAAAATATGCTGTTGGTGTTATCAGTTGAATGATATATTTCACAGGATGTTTTAAGCACCACCAGGAATAATAGGCTGCTAAATTTCTATCAGCAAGCCTCTGAGGCCTTGTCTCTTGTAATTTTTACACAGAAACCTTGCTTTACAGAGGCATGTTAGCCTTTTATTAGCCAGTCACTAAACATACAACAGTTAAATAGAACAATGTGGCTCTGTCATTACATGCAAGAAAACAAAGCTGATGGAGACTAGAGTGCTGTGGTTCCCTGCTAAACAGCTGATACAGTGCAGAAGTGGCTGCATTTCAGTGGCATAATAAATGAAGCCTCTTTTATAAATTGTTTTGGAATCCTTATGGATGAAAATGCTGTATATAAATGTTAGATATACGATATCATCATTAGTTTTTATTTACCTAACTGGTTCCAAATGTCTGGTTTGGGCCATATCATTAGCCATGATTCTGAGGAATTTTGCTCTTTAAATTGGCCAGGAGTGTGTATATTTTGTCATTGATTTCAGTGGGAACAAGAATGGTTTCCAGATTGAAATAGACAGTTAAGAAATCGTTACAAAAAATCTTTTTCTGGGTTAAATTTGCTGTCATTCTAATACTTTTTTACACACACACACACCCAATCTCTCTTTAGAAAAAATGTTTTGTGTGCAAAATCTTTGTGGTCACAGCTACAGCAATCAGAGGTTAGAGCTGGAGCAAAATGGGAATAGGCAGGATTTGAAGCCATCTGCCATATGGAAATGTGCCTGCCACATCAGTGGTTGTGTCTGCTGTTTGCAGCAAGAAAGACATCCACCAGTGTACTCAAAGATTCACAATGCCAAATTCTGATCTTTGTTTCACTTATCTAAATCTGGAGTAAAACAGCTCCACTGACTTCTGTTGAACTAACTAACTTTGCACTGAGGTCAAAATCTGACTCATGGTCATCTCTAGACATATTTCAAATATTCTGGAAATCACTTTTACCATTAGAAATGATGATGCACTAAGGTCACAGAACATGGACACTAACCTTTGTTTGAACTTCCTCACATTGAGTACATGTGAGTATTTCATTATCAGTTTGCAGGAACAGATGACTGTCACTGGGTCCAAACCACGAAAATGTACAACTTGGCCTTTAATTCCCTTTTCTTCAAAACCATCCTCCCTCCACCACACATAAAAATAGATAAGGAAGGTGTGGCTTTAAGAAGTGTGTTTTTCCTTCCACTTCCTGTAGAAGGTTAATAGACTGATGCTGATGGAGCATGTGAAGGTTGTTGTGGACAGCATGAGCTATACACAGATTTATTTTTATTTCCTCATAGAAGACAGAGAGAGAGAGGCAGTTTTGCAGATCAGGCAGCATAGGTGCCCTCTAGTAATAATAAACATCTCCTACCCTCCGCAAAACTGAACACTATTGACTATTCATGGCAAAGTGTCCATAGCACAGCAGCAAAGCCTGTGGAAAATGACAGTGTGTAACAAGCTTGACTGGCATTTCCTTCATGCTAGGTCATATGCCTTTTGACTCTCTCTGGCTCACTCACTCTCACTCTCTAATACACCCTCACTGACAGATCAAATGACATCTGTCTCTGCAATCCACATACCTTCCACAGAGAGGCATATTTTATTATGTCTATATGCAGCTCAGTTTTCACTCAGTCACCTTGATTGTGGAAGAGGACCGGGGGTCAGTGTTCAGTGAAGTCTGCATACAGTACTTTCATTTTAGCTCCTACAGGGTTATTATTGTGCAGCTATTAAGCAGTGTTTTCTCAGACAGAACTCCCAGTAAGACTGCTGTGCCTGTACTGAGGGCTACAGGAATTGCATTGCTTTCAGTGGGAATTTTGCCTAAGAGAGGACTGCAAAATAAGTAACTGAACCTGTAACTCTCTAGTTACGTGAGTAGTCCCACTGACTTTAGCTAGGATGTTCAGGTGAGTAAGAGATTGAAGGATCAGGCTCTTTGGCCTTACTAAACTGTGTGTTCAGAGTACAACAAAATGCAGTAGCTTGCTGTAGTCAGAATGACATGAAATCCTACGCAAGAGCTTGTTTCCAATATAAGCTTTCCCAGTTTAGAAGCTGGCACCATGCTTAGGTCATCACAAGGCTGTATATCTAAGTGATAGGCTGCCTGGAATGATGAGGTGATACCAGCATAATCAGCTGGCCTGCCAATACATGGTAATTAGCCCAGCATGGTGCCAATCTTATTAAGAGTGATGCAGGTGATAATGACGTTAGCAAACTGATTCATTACATCTGGAAAGGAAAATCTTACTAGTAAAAGCTGAAGCACGGAAATATTTTTGGCTCCTGGCAGACTGATCCTTGTATTATGCTGATTAGCCTATATCTGAATAACTAAGGAAGTTAAAAATAAAGTCAATGAAAAATTATAGGCTAAGGAAAGGATTTGTTCTTTTGTGGATACAAGTTATAAACTTTATTTGTTTTTTGGGTGGTCAAAATGTCACCATCTTTTTTCTGTTCCCTGTTTCATTGTCAGGCAAAAGATTTTAAATGTATTTCCTTTTGCCAGTAATAGTCTGAAAAGTCGCTGTAAATCTAACACACTGTTGTGAAATGATTTCTGAAAAAAATCTTTTGCAAACTTGTGGTGAAATCTTGGAAAATGCCTAGGCCCTCAGAATCCTTTGGGGGTGATATAGCAATATGAAAACTTGTAGCAACATGTATTCCCAGTGAAACTGCATGCCTATGACTTTCATTTGAGATAGAGAGATCTGTAGATCTAGTGCATAGAGATTAATGATTAAACCTCACCTCTGACTGAATATTTCTGTTCCCTGTATTCAGGCTTTCATTTGAACTTTCACTGTGTGGTATATGTTGGTGAGATATCCCTAGCAGATCATCCAGGAATG